TCCAATATTCCTAAAATCATTCATTGACTCCATTGTATGCTCTTGCCTCCTTTGTCAGATATTAATTGAGCACAATAGGCTTTATGTTTTTATTATTTATTTACCACAAGAAAAGGTCAAGAATTCTTATACTGTTTTTACTGTTTCACTATATTACTGCTGTGTATCTGCTCCATGTGAGTGACATAGGTGCTTATGTATATGGGGTCTGACTTACGGTGAAAACCACATTACATCACTCCATAGGAACGGATCTCCCATGTAACCTGAAGAACTACTGTAACCACAGGAAAGCTGCATCTTGACTATACTATATTGTACTGTACTATACTATACTATACTGTACTGTACTATATTATACTATAAAATACTAGTATCTATATCTCTATTTTATCTATATCTGTATATGTATCTATACCTATCTCTATATATAAAAGGCTAATATGCAAAGTGTCCCCTTGGGAGTTCAACCAGGTGATGGGGAGTTTGATGGCTCACTAGGGGATGGCATGGAATGAAGGAAGGACCCGGCTGGCAGCCAGAAGGCCCCGATCAGCCCTGATTGCTGACCAGGCCTAGGGACCTTACCCATGCAGGAATCTCATGCACCGGGCCTCTAGTATTTATTTAAGTATTTATATTAATATCAGAAGTAGATAAGGGTGTTCAGGTAGGGACCCATTACAACAAACTCTTCCTAATTATAAAACTAGTGGTGTGCTCTTAAATGCATTCCTAAAAAGTCTCTTTTTCTAACAGCCTCGCTTTGTAGCACATACCAATTTTTATAGTGTAATTATTCTTATCATGGCTGATTGCAGTCGGCCAACATAATTAGCCAGAAGCCAACATAAGCCAGCATAAAAACAATCAGTTCAAAAAAAAAGAAAGATCACCAGGCACAGATCATGATGCTAAAAAAGTGAGTGTTCTACAACATAAAAACATTAAAAATGGGTGGGAGTGAACCCAAAGCCTGCTCAGAGTAACAGAAGCACGGCAGCTGCCGAGGGTTTCTCTGGCCAGTGGCTCTCCCTCCAGTCCACAGCATGAGGAATATCTTTGTGAACCTCTTCAAGGGCTTTTTTGGCAAAAAAGAAATGTGCATCCTCATGGTGGGCCTGGATGCTGTGGAGAAGACCACCACCCTGTACAAACTGAAGCTGGGTGAGGTCATGACCACCATCCCCACCATAGGATTCAACGTGGAGACTGTGGAGTATAAGAACATCAGCTTCACTGTGTGGGACGTGAATGGCCAGAACAATATCTTGCCTCTGTGGCACCACTACCTCCAGAACACACAAGATCTCATCTTTGTGGTTGACACCAATGACCAATAGCATGTGAACAAGGCTCGAGAGAGGCTTAGGTGGATGCTGGCAGAGGATGAGCTCAGGGATGCTGTCCTGCTCATGTTTGCAAACAAGCAGGACCTCCCCAATGCCATGAATGCAGCTGAGATCACAGACAAGCTGGGCCTCCCACTCTGCTCCACAGGAACTAGCCCGTTGTGGCTACCTGTGCCACCAATGGGGACAGGCTCTATGAGGGACTGGACTGGCTGTCCAATCAGCCCCGAAACCAGAAGTGAGCCGAACTCCTCTCTTCCCCCTCACTCTCTCCTTCACCCCTATTTCCTCTCATGTGGCAGACGTGCCCCTGTGGTGTGAGTGCCAGAAGCTGTCTCCATGGTTGGTCCCACTGTGCTTCATCATGCTGTACTTGTGCAGACACAGCCTGCAACCGGGTTTTTATTTAATGTAAATAGTTCTTGTTTCCAATGAGGCAGTTTCTGGTACTCCTAAGCAATATTACTTAGATTTTCTTATTGTAAAAAATATAAATAAAAATAACAGAATCAACCCACTGTTTATACTGAGAAGGGATTTTGGGCACTTAGGGCAAGGCCTCTAGGAGTTGCTGTGAGATCACCTCAACGCTCCTCCTCTGGGCTTTAAATCTGTGTTGAGATGAACACTATGACTCTGAGAAGACCAGAAACTAAACCAGGAAGACTCCTTCCACAAGTTCCTTTCACTACTAGTGTTGCTTCACCAGCTTTGGGACTCTGCAGTGAGCCACTTCTTTTCCCTGCCCTTCAAAAAGAGCCTCCTGGCCACCTTGATTCTCTGCCTCTTGGTCGTGAGATTTGATCCAGCGTCTCCTTCTTCCCTGCCCTTCCTCTGCAAGCTGGCTCAGCTCTTCCATTGGATCCGGGAGGCTATGTTTTCTTCTCTCTAATAGCTCTTCATCCATGACTGAGTGGTCTTTCCCACTCACCTCAGCCTCTCCACTCCCCACAGCAGAATAACTCATCCATGGCACCAATTTCCTTTTGCTGGCTGGGCCCCTATGGGAGTGGGGCCAGCCCAATTCTAGGAAGAGCTAATCCAATATATGTCTTTTTTTTTAAAAAAAAATTTGTTTTATTGCTTAAAGTATTACAAAGAATATTACATATGTCTCTCCACCCCCACACACACATGAACTGTCTTGCTACCCAAATGCTCTCCCACTTTGGCTGGTGTCAGGTCACATGGAAACAAAGTGGGGCTGGAGGGCACAAGTCCTCCAGAACAGTCCCCTCTTATACCCAGAGATGCCTTTTTAAGGAGGGGTTTGGGAATGGAGAGTGTGCCCATGAAACATTCCATCTTCTTGACGAAGGCAAGGGGTTGATTTTTTTAGGTTAGTGTGTGAATGAAGCTGGAAGTTCAGAAAAAACCCTTGGACATCTTACCTGTGAACCAGGCCTTTAGTTAGGCAGAGTGTCACCTGAGAGGGCCTCTTCTTTTCTCTCTTATGCTTCTCTTCATGGATATGCACATAATTTCCATGGTTTTTCAATGGACTTGAAACTGCCTGGGTCCACTCTCTATTCAGACCTGGGCATGACTTTCAGAACCACCCAGGTGATTACCAAAAACAAACTGAGTCTGCTTCGCTCTTCTAACTGGGTAAAGTGATCTTGCTTGGTGCTCTTGGGCTTCAGCTCGGTTTTCCAGGCAGTCAGTGGCCAGCCCCTGTTCTGTTACACTCAGTATTGCTGCTGTCTTTTTCCCTCTTGTCAAGCCTTTGCCACCAGTTCTGCCTGTATCCTTGCTTTCTGGTGGACATTTGCTGGTTTCCCCCTTTCTATATCCTGTTCTAATTATAATCTATTATTTGTATTAAAAAATAAATAAATAAATAAATCTGTGTTGAGATCCATTTTGGTGGTTGGTTTTTAACCCAAACTCAGTACATTTTTTATAATATAAATACAAGGTATGGAGATACTTTAACACGGAGAAGGGAGAAATGTTCCTAGTGTAGGTTCTGCAGTAACGGCTTGAGTCCAATCTGCCTTGGTCTATCTGCCATCTGGAGCGTGTGCAGTGGGCAGAACCAGCCACAATACATTCTGCATGGTCACTTATGGCCCCTGATTGGCTTTGTCTCGCTGGGTCATCTACATCCCATAGCATTCGTGCTGTACTTGTGCTTACACCACTGCTTATGGGGGTGGACTGGGGGTTGCAGCCACCACTCAGATCCCTTTGAGGGACCCCAGCCTTCCCTTCAGTCAGTGTGGATCAGTGTAGGTGCTTCGGTGGGACCACTCAGGCCAGAACAGGAGGCCGCCATGGTCCCTACACACACTCACTTGCGCCAGGTTGTCTGGGTCTCACCAGTAGGAGTGCAGACAGGTGACCAGTCATCATAGAGCCAGCTCCTCAGAGCCCCCATCCACATGTGCTTTCAATCACTCAGCCTGCAAGGGTCAGATTGACATAAAAAACAACAACCTCTACATTTTTTTTGTATTTTGATAAACACTGAATAACCTAGAGCTGTTAAAATTTATCTTGGGGAAAATCTCAGAACTGGTTCATCTGGTGTCCTGGAACCTCTTGCTGCTTTCAATACATGAAAAAAAAATGTTAAAAATGCATAAGTAAAAAAAAATGACATATCTCAAAACAGAAAGAGACACACCTGCAATTATGATTGTGCAAATTGTTTTGCATAGGATTTAGCTGTTAAAATTTATCTTGGGGAAAATCTCAGAACTGGTTCATCTGGTGTCCTGGAACCTCTTGCTGCTTTCAATACATGAAAAAAAATGTTAAAAATGCATAAGTAAAAAAAAAAATGACATATCTCAAAACAGAAAGAGACACACCTGCAATTATGATTGTGCAAATTGTTTTGCATAGGATTTGCATTGTCTTATATAATGAACAAGCAAAAATTATCAATTGGGAATGAAAAATTATTAAAAACGCAAGTAGCAAACATGAGCTAGTGCACTTATAACAATGCTTATACGTGAGAAGAGAATGCATATTCTAGGAAAGTTATATGGAGGTGTTGACTATACAATAATTTTAGGAGATCTATCTCCCTATGCTCCTGACTGCAATAAGAGGATTTAGTATTTGCTGCTTAAAGAATTTAACCCTATTGACACACATCTCTAAGGCCTGTTTTATATCTCTGTTCCTCAGGCTGTAGATGAAGGGGTTCAGCATGGGAGTAACTACTGTATACATGACTGAAGCAATTATGTCTTTGGAACCCCATGATGAGGAGGAAAAGTAAACACCTGTAGATGTACCGTAGTATAAAGAGACCACAGAGAGATGGGAGCCACAGGTAGAAAAGGCTTTAGAAAATCTCTTAATGGAGGGGACTCTGAGGATGATGGCCCCTATACGGATGTAAGATCCCAAAATAACACCAATACACAAAAATAAAATCATTCCTCCCACAGTGAATATGACCAGCTCATTGAGGAAGGTGTCTGAACAGCTCAGCTTTAGGAGTGCTGCGAGGTCACAGAAGTAGTGGATGATGGTATTGTCAGCACAGAAAGAAAGCAGCTCAGCTTCAGGAGCGCTGCAAGGTGTCACAGTAGATGGGGGATGGTATTGTCGGCAGAGAAGTACAGTTGAACCAAGAGGAGAGTGTGCAACAAATCATGGAGACAGGAGAGAATCCAGGAGCCAGCCACCAGCAGTACACACAGCCCCTCCCTCATGATGGTGGTGTAGTGTAGAGGGTGACAGATGGCCACGTACCTGTCATATGCCATCACAGCCAGAATAAAATTGTCAAGACCAGCAAAAAGTATGAAGAAATACATCTGAGAAATGCATCCCACATAGGAGATGGATTGTTGCTGAGTCTGCATGTTCATGAGCATCTTAGGGACAGTGACAGAGGAGAGAGAGATGTCAGAGAAGGCCAAGTGGCTGAGGAAGAAGTACATGGGCGTGTGCAGGCGAGAGTCCAGCCTGATGAGCAGGATGATGAGCAGGTTGCCCAGCACCGTGGTCAGGTACATGCCCAGGAACAGGGTGAAGAATACGCCCTGCTGCCCTGGCGGGATGGGGAGCCCCAGGAGGAGGAACTGGGACAGGCTGCTCTGGTTCTCAGGCCTCATGCTGCTCTTCTGTCTGCTGGGGATGAAGAAGTTGTGGGGATCTCAGGAAATTAAACATGATGACCAGGATCATCACATCTCATACTGTCATTTTTTTGGGAAAACCATTTTTAAGTACGTTCATATTAATTTCTCATATCTGTGAATGTATAAAACTTCCCTATATTGTAGTCTGGCTCCAGGAAAATATTGAACTCCAAAGTAGTAAATAGACATTATCACACAGGAGCATGAGGGGATACACACACACACACACACACACACACACACACAGCCGATTTGAGGATTCCAGTCACCTGTGACTACTTTCCCATCCTAATGGAAGGATGGTTAATGTGGGTTCAGCTAATAAATACTCATATACATACACAAAAGGCACAAGTAAAACACAAAGTGAGACATACACAACACACAATGATGCACCACTCACCCACAGACACACTCTCAATGCACATCAACACAGGTGACTCATGACACACCTGGAAAACTCAACTCACCACACATACATAATTCTGCACTATACACCTACATCACCAAAACTCACAAGGCCACAAATAATTCAAAAATCCCACAAGAGCCCTAACCGGTGTGGCTCAGTGGATAGGGTGTCGGCCTGTGGACTGAAAGGTCCCAGGTTCCATTCTGGTCAAGGGCATGTACCTTGGTTCGGGACACATCCCCACTAGGGGGTGTGCAGGAGGCGGCTGATCGATGTTTCTCTCTCATCGATGTTTCTAATTCTCTATCCCTTTCCCTTCCTCTCTGTAAAAAATCAATGAGATATATTTTTTAAAAATCCCACAAGAATATTCTTTTAGATTTGAAAGAAATAAAACACGGAATTTAAAAACTAGATGGACCCTTAGAGATTAGTCAGAGCAGCACACACCCTCCTCCTTACCATCTCCTTCCTGGGGAAGCAGTCAGCATGGGGCAGTTAAGCCTATTCAGTCATAGGCACATCATTAACCCAGTAACAACACCCCATGCATGTGGTCACATACATGATAACAGACAGAGAAAACCCAACAACACACCTTCCTGTTCTCACACCTGAGTGTGTCCCCTATAAACAGAGCTCACACATGTACTAGCACATGCTGCTGAGCAGAGGTCTGAGCCCTCACTGTGCTGACCTTGGTTCCTTGTAAGGTCAGCATCTTCCTGTCCAGTTGCAGAGACAAGAGTCTCACTCCGATGCTCAGCTGTGATGCCAGTGTTTACGATCACAGACATGAATCAGGAGTCCCTAATCACATGCCAGTAGGTGACTTGTCTTTTTCTCTGCACACCCTAAACAAGACTGTGGATCAGATACCTAGAAAACACACATACGCGCACACACACAAGTATAAGACAACACGTACCCAAGCATACACAATACATACACACACAAAGTCATGGATACAGCGTTTCATACATGAACCGGCTAGCACACAGGCAGATCCATCACCAAGTGCAGATTTCCTGCTCCTCTCACCTGGGCTCGTCATTGAGGAGGTCAGACACCTTCTGCTCCAGACTGCTGTCCATCTCCTCAGGTTTTCTTCAGGAGACCTAACATGGGAAATGAGTCCACAGATGATACTTAACTGTTAATGAGAGACTGCAACCAAGTCCCCAAGCTTGTGGCTGATTTCTGACTGCCCTTTGGGGAGCTGAGTGTCCAAGAGCCAGTGGGACTGGAGTCCTAGGGGACAGTGTTCCTAATTCCAGTCATGTCCTGGACTGCTTTGTCCTTGGACATTGCTCCAGCTGGGACAAAGTTTTTTCAACTTTTTTTTTGAAAATGATTTCAAAGATATAGAAAAGTTGTGAAAATCGTTTCAGAAAACCTGGACAGGCTTCAGGCAGATTCCCTAATGGTTAACATTTTATGATGTTTATGGTGTTCTATGTGTGTATGCATATATACATATATGTTTCAGGCTTTGATTTCAGCATATATACCACAGTGTATATAATTAGAAGGCTTGTGATATTAATTTCTGCATGTATACATATATGTTTCAGGCTTTGTTTTCAGCATATATACCACAGTGTATATAATTAGAAGGCTTGTGATATTAATTTTTCCAATTACTAGAGTTTTTATCTTTGATCAATTGGTTAAGGTGGTGTCTGCACTAAAATGTTACCATTTTTTAAGTTACTCTTTTAAATTTGTAATTAATAGGTATCATTTGGGTAGTTATTGTGATACTATAACATTAACATTTTTCTTATTAAAATCTCACCCACTATATTTCATATCCATTGCTGATGCCTACATGGCAAATATGGTGGTCTAACGGTGAGTTTTCTAATTCTATCATTTCTTCTTCCTTTTTAGTTGTACTTTTTTCTTTTTATGAATAAAATGTTAATATTGACATTATTGCAGACTTGCCCCTTGTCACCTACACTACACTCTCCTCCCTCTTTTTTGCCTTCCTTACACTATTGTTTGTGTCCATGAGGTACGCAAATATGTTCTTCAACTAATACTTTCAGCTTGTTTATCTTGTCACCCCAAGCCTTCTCCCCTATGGTTTCTGCCTTTCTGTTCTATGTATCCATGCTTCAGATTCTATCTTGTTCATCAGTTTGTTCATTAGACTCCAATTATTAGTGAGATCATAGGGTATGTGTCTTTCTCTGACTTGCTATTTTGTTAGCATAATACTTTCCAGGTCCATCTATGCTGTTGCAAAGGGTAAGAGTTCCTTCTTTTATACAGCTGTGTAGTGTTCCATTGTGTAAATGCACCACAGCTTTTTTATCCACTCATCTGCTCATGGGCACGTGGACTGTTTTCAGATCTTAACAAATGTGAAGAGTGTTGCTATGAACATAGTGGTGCATGTATTCTTTCTGATTGGTGTTTTGGGATTCTTAGGATATATTTCCAGAAGAGGAATCACTGGGTTGAAAGGCAGTTCCATTTTTAATTTTTTTGAGGAAACTCCATGCTGTTCTCCACCGTGGCTGCACCAGCTTGCATTCCTAGCAAAAGTGCTGTAGGGTTTCCTTGTCTCCACATCCTTGCCAGCAGTTGTTGTTTGTTGATTTATTGATAGTAACCATTCTGGCAGGTGTAAGTTGATATTCCTTTACAAGAAGGAACTTATCCTTATTCTGCACTCATTTCTTTCTTTATTCATTGATATCATTATGGATACATGGATTATTATTCTCTGAGTTATAATACAATAACATTGTTATTTATTTTGAAACTTTTGGTGTCTTCATTACTTACAAAAATACTAAATGTTCACAGGAAGCCAATTGGGAAATATGTATAAAAGAAACACCAGAAGAAAAAATCAGAAATTAAGAAACTAAAGGAAATTTTTACCACAGGAGATAGGTCAGGAGTGGCACAGAAATAATGGGGAAAGGGAACAGTATAGATGTTCATATAAACCTATGAGTTACAGTCTATTTATACATATTAAAACCCATGATTTCTGATTGAAAGCTCCAATTCTAGTTTGACACTATAGAATCCTTTCCAGCCTCTCCATTTCCAGGCACAGAGCTCCTTTCCCGAGTGAGAGTGAAACCTTTTCCTCCATGTTTATTTAGTTGCTGAGTCTTTGGGTATATGGTGACTTGTTTCAGAATCTTGAACTCGCACCACTGTTAATGAAACTCAATAGCCAATAACATTGTTTAGACTATTTTTAATTGTGGGAGTATATTAACAAAATTCTCAGTTCAAGAATTGCTTAGGTTATTTATTTTATTTTCCCCTTTAATCTAATTTTGGAGTTAATTTGAAATATAATTTCAGGTCATTTGTATTGTTTTAATCTATTTTGCTTTACTCACCACCTCTCCTATTTATTTGTTAGTGGCAAAATGCAGCATAGTCAAAACTACATAAAAAATCCCACTCATCTCGCCATCCCTTCTGCCCACCTCCTGTGGGTAAACAATCTCAGTTTCTGATTTATTCTTCCTGTGCTTCTTTCTGCTCAACTGGGCAGACGCATGTGTTTTTATTCCCCTTCAGTGTTACATAAAGAGGAACGTGCTATCATGCCCTTTTACACACGGTTGTTTTTCATTCAGCAATATATCTGCATATTTCTCCACATTGCTTCATAGATACCTTCACTTTTATTTGATTGACAGTTGCAAAATACTCAATTGGTGTTCTCTAGAGTGTTCTTTAGTGGTCATTAAATGAGATATTGGTGATGAGTGCCCTAAATGCCACTGAATTGTATACCTCAAAAGGCTAAAAAGAAAGTAGGAAGTGATATCTGCACACAGCAAAGAAAATAATTATAAAACAATAAAAATAATAATGTATAATTAATAAGTTAATTGAGGGAAAATTGAATTTTTAAGTGTTTATTTAAAATGGAGGAATA